TAAATAAAATAATTAAAGATAACATATATAAAATATTCCTTTCTACAATGTATCCTATTTACAGGGTATGCCAATGATCGCAAAAGCTCAACCAAAAAGGAAAGGGTGTACGTGTTAATAGTTGAATTAGTCATGTCATTAGTCAAGTCATTAGCAGCCAAATGAAGCAATTTGACGGGGCCATCGCTACTCCTGCCGTGGCTCGAGTCAGTCGTGTTCGCTTTGCAGGTGAGACACAGGTGCGCACGATGGCATTTCTGCGCGCGTTCCGCATCAGCAACCAGTACATACGCTTCTCGGCGCTGCTGCTGCTGCGCTTCTACCTGGCGCAGTTCTACTTCCTGGGTCTGCTGCGGCTGCGCTACCGGCGGAGGGGCAACGCGGTGCACCTGACCCACTACAGTGTGACGGTGTCGCGGCTGGTGGCGCTACCGTTCGCGTACTTCCTCAGCCTGGCGGTGCTCAGTCCGTACAGCTCGCTGTTGCACATGCAGCCGTATCTGTTCCTCTGCTTCTTCCTGTGGCAGCCGCGGCGCGTGCACGAGGAGCGCGTGCGCCTCATCAATGGCTTCTTGCGGCTGGCGCCGGCGCTCTACCGGCTGACGCGTTGCCAGCTGCAGGTGTCCTGGCTGCTGGTGGTGCAGCTGGCCCTCAAGCTGCTCACCATGAAGATCTATCTGTGGGTCTATAGGCGACAATCGGATGCCATTGTCATGTTCGGCTCTCTCCTGGTCGTTGCCCTGCCCGGCAGCTTCTCCGTGTGGTGCCTGGACATGGCGGCGCATCTGATCAGCATTTGCCTGTACCTCCTGCTGGCCTCCTTCGAGCAGCTGAACACGGAGCTGCAGCAGCAGCTGGAGCAGCTTCACATGAAGACGCTGCACGCGGACTATCGAGCCGTGAAGCGGCTGCAGCGCCGCCTGCTCTACATCCAGCGCCTCTATGTGGCCTATGCGCGGCTCACGCAGCAGCTCCTGGACACGCTGGCGCCGCAGCTCCTGCAGATTGTCGTCTACAATCTGACAATGATCTATGCGCTGTCCTTCGGCCACTGGCGTCGCCTGCTGGACATCCTGATGCTGGCGAATGGCTTGCGCATACTATTCCAGTCGCTCGATGCACTTGTTGTGGCCACCAGATCGCCGCGGGACACCACCTGGATGCATCTCGCCCAGCTGCTGCAGCTCAACCAGGCGCTGGCCATGCACGGCTGGCTGGATCGACATTGCTCCACGTCTAGCCACATGTACAGCTCGGGGCAGAGCATGCGGCGGGTCTTGCTCCAGCCACGCCTACAGATTCTTGGCCTCTTCACGCCCAATCGGCGGTTCTTCTTTCGCCTGCTATTCTGCTACTGCAGCTACCTTTATGTGAGCTACGTGTGGCACAAGCGATTGCCCGTCCACAAGGGCGAGATTTTCAATTTACTCTTGCTCTAAGACAACTTTGTCAATTTCATGAAAGCTGATAGTTTTTATAATAAATTTATAATATATACACCATATTAGATCAACTGCCTTTTGCTGTTCGAGCATCTTCTTTTCAGAGCTATTCTAAGCTGACAGCCTTAACATTTTGTTCCCTTTGAGTGGAAGTCCATAAGAGTTGAAAGCGTATAAAAATTGGAAGCCAGCTTGAGTTGTTTTTGTTCTCTTTACAGAAGCTGCAGTCAGGCAAGCCGAAGAGATATTAAAAGTCGTTCACTCACTCTCTCTCTTTCTATTAGCAAGACACTTCCGTTCTTTTCGTTTTATGTTGAGCGCCTTGAGTCAAACTCTTCGTGTGATGTTCGTTTACCGAATATCTTTTAAGGAGAGACACGATTGACGCTCGCCCAATGAGACTGACTAATTGCGCAAGTAGCTCAAAAGTCAATGCAAATGCTCTTCACATTTAAATTTACATACATGCACATGCACACTCATTTCACGTACACAGCTTCCGCATGCATATCAATACATAAATAGAAGTCTTTTTGGTTTGACTCAATCAAACGGTCGGAGAAGAAACAGAGCGAAATAAAACGAGAAAAATGGTTGCTCACAGATCCCAAGCAATGCAATTGGTTGCTCTCTGAGTTTTTCTCAATGTGTGAGTGAAAGAGATGCGAGCTGTGTTTATGTATCCATGTATGTATGTCGCTTAAACAAAACTTTATTATGTTAACCTAAAGCAATTAACGTGTACATAAATGCACAGATTGAAATCTATGTAAAAAAAAAAAAATAATAATAATAATATTAACTGTAACTAAATGTGTGCTAAACGTAACTAACAAATGAGAAGCAAACAAACTAAAAAAAAGTAAAGAAAATCCTA